CCCCCCCCCCCTCCCCCATCTTCTACGCGGGCTGCGCAGTGCATACAACTTTAATTTAAAAAGTCCCTTAAATCCCCATACTGACGAATAATTATCTTTCCATGTTGTTGTTTTTAGGAAGCGGCCTCTCCAAGGATCTCATCCCATTATAATTGATGATTGCAACATTTATTCCAGTCACAAGCGGAAGTTTGGCACTGGAGTTTTTAAGCGTCCTGCTGTTTGGTTGCGCGCTGATAGTTCATTTCGAAGATGGTAGCCATTTGAACCGACCAAAGACAACGCAAGCACAAGTGCAATGATAGAAAGCCCGCCCAACAATTACTGAAAGGACATGCACCAAAAAAAAACATTTTTGTGGAATCCAATGCAATCCTTGCTAGAAAGACTGAAATGAAATAAAATAACAAAAGTAAAAACTACATAATATTTAATATGAATTAAATCCGCAGCGACAATGCCAAAAAGTAGTTTGGTGCGTTGAAAGGAAAATAATTATCATTTTATAATTGTTCCACGGATATTTTGTGGGTTAAAATTGGTTTAGCTAATATTGGGTCGTTAATACTACAGTTGAAAGCCGAAACGACGAAGTTACTGAAGGGGAGGTACATGCTACACAAGTAAATAATAATAATAATAAAAAAATTACTAAATTGTCATCTGCAAATTTACCTGCGTAATAAATAGTGATCAGTAAGGCATGCAGGTTGTCACTTAAGGATATTTTACTGAAAGATTTTTGTTCCGAATCTGGGGCTTCTTTGTTTATTTTAATTTAGCTGGTTGTATAACCACACAAAAAAGTCCGAGGATCGAATTTTGGATGTATTTGGTTGCACTTCTTTGTCGTATGATAATAAGAATATGTGAAGGAGTGGTAATCTGATGAAATTGCAAAATGATTCATATGATGCACATAATCTGTATTTCCATGCTAGATTTGCCATTTTTCATTTTATTTATTTTTATTTTATTAGCTTTGCCCTGAAGAATACAAAAAAAAAACACTCTAGATATGCAAACACTGGTAATAAGAACGTAACAATACACTAATATAATAACTTAAAAATTAGGGCAGGGACAGCGCAACAGCTAAAGCCAATTAGTGCGGACCCAACATTTACAGCTAATTTAAACCAAAAGCTTAAAATTGTTTTAGACGTAGCTATAGGATATGGCAAGATTTTCATATCTGATGTTATAATCCATTTGAGATGTGGAAGATGTGAATGGATAAAAAACTTAAGAGCAAAGAACGGACATTGGTCAGGATGACACTGTATACTACAGGTTTCATCAGTAGCAATCCAGCTAAGCATGCAGGGAATTTTTGACTGAAAATTGGTATGACTACTTTCGCTATTGTAGCCGCTCAACGTACAGAGTCTAATGGTCTACTAAGTACAGTCAATGCCACATAGCAATATCCTGCCACCGGAGTACTTCCGTTTTCGTCACAGTTTTTGGAAGAGAATCATGTCTCAACGGCAGAGGGTTTTTTTTTTAACAACTTGAAATTATGGTCTTGTACACTAAATGGCAGCACTAGAATATTTGGAGTAAAGATTCTTTCAATTTTTTTCTGTTGCTATATTTCTGGAAGGAAATTGTTTCAAGGCAACATTTTTTGATCGATCATTAATTTTGTATGTAACATTATTAGTTCTTGATAAGTTTATAAGAACAGTACTTTATAGAATGAAATTTGTTTCATTAAAGAGGTGCAATTTTATATAACAAACGCTCATGGCCTTTTTTGTCATTTGTGGATTGCCTATAATTACTTTGTTCGTCTTTGTTAAGGGACGTCAGGAGCCCATCATGGGCTCCCAAGGACCTCGATCCACCATTAGAAAAGTTATGGATTGGCTTTGATACTGGTGCTAGCATAAAATTGAGCCTGATTCGTCACTACGATACATTTCATTTATTTTATGAGAAAAGGACTGCCAGCTGTAGCTTAATTTGCACTTTTGGCTAGAGATAAGTCAGTCGAGGTAGCTCGACTGGATTTTTTAGGGAGTATACTTCCCCACTTTGAGCGTTACCACGTCGGAATTACAAAAGTTATCGGAAAAAGGTTACCACAGCTGCACTATATAAAGATGAAAATTTGTTATAATCCATGTTTTATTGACACCAGAGTTACCATGGCAACATAATGACGACATTACGTTTTTTACTTGCTTTTGCATTTCTCGGTGCTAGGAGGTTTTTTTTAGAAATCGCTTAAGGGATTTTTTTGATCGATCATTAATTTTGTATGTAACATTATTAGTTCTTGATAAGTTTATAAGAACAGTACTTTATAGAATGAAATTTGTTTCATTAAAGAGGTGCAATTTTATATAACAAACGCTCGTGGCCTATTGTGTCATTTGTGGATTGTCTATAATTACTTTGTTCGTCTTTGTTAAGGGACGTCAGGAGCCCATCATGGGCTCCTAAGGACCACCACCATTAGAAAAGTTATGGATTGGCTTTGATAGATTGTGCCAGCATAAAATTGAGCCTGATTCGTCACTACGATACATTTCCTTTATTTTATGAGAAAAGCACTGCCAGCTGTAGCTTAATTTGCACTTTTGGCTAGAGATCAGTCAGTCGAGGTGGCTCGACTGGATTTTTTAGGGAGTATACTTCCCCACTTTGAGCGTTTACCACGTCGAAATTAAAAAAGTTATAGGAAAAAGGTTACCACAGCTGCACTATATAAAGATGAAAATTTGTTATGATCCATGTTTCATTGACACCAGAGTTACC